AACTTCTCGTAGTTCTACATTGAGTAAGAGTTTAAGGGGACAAGTAAAGCATCCTGAAATTAGCTAAAGAGTAATGTAATTTTAGTTGCATTTTGAGGCTTGCATTTGATTGCATAATTCTGCTTTTACGTACAACTTTTATTTTTGCTGCTCATTTAATTTTAGTCACGCAAAATTTTACAATATGCTCATCACTGCAGAGTTTAAAAAGCGTGAATTTGAAAATGATTGTGCTTATACCGGAACTTAATGAATATAGAATGATCAAGCGGCTGGATAATATATATATATATATTTACGTACGTACGTATGTATGAATGTTATACGTGTTATTCTCTTGAAGAACCTTAAATACTAACAGTATACTGGTAGGTGTAAGATTTCATGAACCTGCTGTGTTTTCGGTTCTTATATTGTGCAGCAGGTTATTAAAGGCGTGATCAGCACTCAGAAATTGAAAGATTATACCATTCATCCATTTTGGTGAGATCAATATGCAATAATTGTTTTTAATTACATTTTTTTCTCAATATTTTCACTCCATTTCTGCTTTAATAATATAAACGAGCACGAGTCTCTTGCATTACACTTAATCTAAAAATGAGTTGCCCTTCATAGTGCAGCATATAAGAGCTTTTCTATTATATTTATGTAAAAATTGTTTCTGTCGAATTGTCCTGGCTAGTATATTAGTTCCGTTCTTTAGGATTTCACAAAACTTACAGCTTCTCAAGTTTCTTGATTGTTTGTTTAATTACCTTATTTTTTCTCTTTTCCAAGTAATACAATAAATTTATTTATAAGGAGCAGCAATAATGATGAAATATTTGGAATTCGATGAGATGCATAAGCTGGCTAACTTAGCTATAGTGAAATGAGAATTCACTTCTAATTATTCATTATTTTCAGTGCAATGCCAATTATTTAAATAAACAAATTCCTAAGCTGTGACATTCAAATGATTGTTCATAGGCCGTGCCAGGTTTTACCCTATTAAAAAAAAAAAAAGCTTCAATTTCCACAACAATGATAAGTCTTTTTCCACTAGGTGGGGTTGGTTATATAGATTATATGACACTTTATGTTTTATCATCAACCAAGCTTTTATGAATGTTATTTAGTCCATAAGTATTAAAACTACATCATATCTAGCTTTTATGTACCCTCATTTCTCTTAAAATGCTACTTTTTTATATGTGCAGAGAATCCCTTGATGGAAGAGATCAGCGATTAAAATAGGTAATCAACATTTTGAAGTATTTGCATTTTAAATCGTTAATGTCTGTCATTTCCAATGTTTATAAAATTAGACTGGCTGTTGAACTGGTTGATATATTGATTTAAAGTTTATCGTCCTGTTGATGGTTTAACCGCTGTCCAATGAGTCATAATTGAATTAGTTTATTTAAATTATACATCCTCCGTCACTATTTAATTGTCCTCCTAGGAAAAAATCTATGTGCAATGTAAGAATTTTTTTTTATTCCAGGTTTGTCCTCCATTTAACAGGGTATTGTTGAAAACAATAATACTTATACCTCAAAATTTGGACCAGGACATATTTAGGGGCAAAATGAAAATGCAAATCAGGACAAGTAAAGGGAGATGGAGGAAATTACATGCATATATATTATATGGGATAAAGAGAAATTTGGCTTTAAACTATAGGCCCAAGAGTGTTTTGGATCTTAAATTTATTTTTGGTGCAATGTCCTCCTTCAAATTTTTGAAACAATGCAATGTATCTCTTATCATTAATAAAAGTTAATTTTTAAACCGGTCATTATTTGAGCAATAAATTACAGAAAATGATCTCATAAATTGCAAAAAAAAAAAGGACCAATAATTTTTTTGTCATTTTCTTTAATTTTTTAGGTTATTGTTTGTAATTTTTGAACTCTTCACTATAATTTTTTTGGGTCCGTTTTGTCTGAAAATGACAGTGTTTCTTGACATGAGGAAAAGGCTCCGTTAGCAGCAGTGATTAATTTCCTTGGAATATGACTTTTTTGTTTTCTGTCCGTGACACATTTCATGTTGACAGAAGGAAATAAAAGACGGCATCATTGGGGGAAAACAAAATGAAAGAAACGAATGGTGCTGAAGTGTGATTGATAGAAGGCTGAGGATGTATATGACATAAATCAGCATCTCATAGAAGAACCAGGAATCTTTTAGGAGGGATTGACAATTTTTGATTGATCATGTTTTTAGACAAATAAATTGTTGTACTGATGGCTAATCTATCAAACAAAAATGAAGGAGAATATTGCATCATAAACGAGTTTAAGGTCCCAAATATTCTTGGATCCACATCACTGGTTCTCAGATTACTTAGTTTTTAAATAAGAGTCTTATTAAAGATGGAAAATGTGTATGTTTAGGTGAGGAGTGTTTCACAAGAACAAGGTCAGTCATCTGAGTCAGCCAACGTTGGCAGCATATTTGACCCTCCACATGACGATGATAGTTCAGACAATTCTCTCAGATTGGGGTTAGTATATATAACTTGTTTAACTGTCCATTCTTGAGTTTTCTGATAATCAAGCATGGAAATTGTCGTTAATTTTTCATGATATTGCTGATAGAGTAATACACTTGGTACTACATGATGGCTTGGTTTTATAGAAATACAACAAAGTACATTTTAGCACTCAGATCTTCAACAGTTTGGAGGACAATTGAAGTTACAGGTTAACAAATGAATTTATCTTTGTCTTTTATATTATCAAATAGAGTATGGCATGTGTTAATCAATAAGCAATGGGGAAATTAAAGTGCATTTTTCCCTTAAGTAGTATTTGAATTGATGGATTTGAATTTAAATTTTACATTTAAAATCCTTTGCTTGGATGGTATAAAAAATTTTAAAGGTAAAAGAGAGATGAGTTGAGATTTGAAATAGAATAGAAGATTGAAAGTTGTGAGCTTACCTTTATTCTTCAATTGGTGAGAAATAAGAACAAGCAATGAGAGGAAAGGAGAAGAGTAACAAATGCACTGATAGTGAAGATATTAGAAATTAAAGAGAATTTGAAATTACAAAAAATTTAAAATGAAAACATGGATTTAGACTTGGATTAAATCTAAATCTATAAACTTTTATATATCCAATTGAAGAATTTGGTTAAATACAAACCTTAATTCAAATCCTCATGCATTCAAGCATAGCATAAAAGTATTTTCATGAGTGACAGGGCAACCTAAAGAGAATTGTAGAGCACTGTAGTATATAATCTCTTGATGTACGCTAATGGTTGGTTAACCGTTAACCATCAAAATTTAAGATTGCATTGATTTTGAAATATTACTTGCCACATGTATCCCATTGCTTCTTTGAGAATACTTTAAGGATAAAACACACTTTAACTCAATGTGTGGCTAGCAAGAACCAGTTGTACTGTAAATTATAGTTTTCTAGGGTTTCTAGTCTATTACAAGTTGTGCACAGTTTTTCGTTTCAAAGTGTATTTAGTATATATGCATCTTTGCATAAATCAAATGTGAGACTGAATTATTTAGTGTGTGTGTGTGAAAGGATCAGATGGATACGTGGCATGCAAATTCTTAAAGATTAACTTCAGTTTATTTACTGTCAGTGTTGCAAATTGTCTTTATTAAATAAACTAAAGATGTGATGCACTATAAGACAGAGCCAAATACTCTGAGGTTTTCACTTTTATAGGGGAAATTTAACCGCTGTGGGAGTTTTTTTTTTCCCTGTTATTTCAAAATTTAAGTTTGCTTAATCCATATAGTTTTTGATTTGATAAATTGAACAATGAATATATATATATATATATATATCCGATGGTGTTGTATGCTTGTATTTAAAAATTATGCATGATCATCCTTTTCACAGATTAGAGTACTAATTAAGAGATTGTTTACAATTTAATCCAATTGGTCAAATGCCAAGTCATATATGCACAAATGGGCCATGTCAACACCCGCTACAGTGATGGCTGCTTGATATGGTCATGATCATCCATATTCTATACAAAATTAAAATTATATTTATTACCGTTTATTCAATATTTACTGAAGTGATGGCAATAAAAAATTAATATGGATTTCTATTTTTCAGATTGTTATTTACATGCTGAATGAAGTTAAATTCTCCCATGCAATTCACATACAACATTTAATTAGAGACCTTAACTGTTATATGATTATTTTATGAGTATTTCATATTGGATATTATTAAGGTAGCTTGACGCAGCCTGAGTTCAATTGAGTGCAGTTTTTCTAATGTATTTTTTAATCCAGAAGGTTTGAACACTGAACTTGCATGTTTAATAAGAGAATCATTTCTTTTTATTCAACTCATTCTTTGTTGTCATTAACAAATGTTTAATTTGTTGCCATAAGAAAGCAGAAAGCATTTTATACAACTTTTAGTAACTAGATTGACTTTTTATACATGCATCCCAAAATTTTTGAGAAGCCAAAAACCATTATTGTTTACAATTTTTTACAAGTACTAGGTTTCATAAAAAAATATAATAACCATAAAAAATTCTCATAATCATAAAATTATTTGAAGTGATGTGTCCTTCATTAAAGTTGTAAATTGGATAAATGTCCATGAATAAGTTACCAAAAAGCATACTTCTTTTGGTCTAAAATATAAATATTTTTTAATAATAATTCAAAAATCTAATAAAATTCTTATTCTGATGAAAATATATACTGCTTTTTTTTTTTTACTTCTAGTTTTAATTTATGATACATGAAAAGAAGTTTATGAATGCAAAAACAACATGAATTTAGATTAATAAATACAAGAGCTAAATGAAAAAAAAAGTTACAAGTATCAAGTTACTTATTTTTTTCAATCAAAATTATGAAAGAAAATGCTTGTATTTGGATAAGAAGGAACAATATGAAGATTTTTAAGTAAATTCTTATGAGATTTCATTAAAATAACATTTTCATTAATTTTTAATATCTACGTTTAAAGTGGATTGTTTAAAAGAAGAGTAATGATTATAAAAAATATTAGGCAAAAAAATAAAAATTTAAGAAAGGGGGATTTCATTTAAGTTATCTGACTGCATCCAATAAAAAAAGAGACCCTTAATTTTGAAAATTCACTCAAACTAGAAATAATGAAGTGAAATTAAAATGTAAAATAAAATTACCCCATCACCTCCCATCCATTTTGATTCTTTACTGAAATAGTTCATTTTTTTTAAGAAGTTGTTTATTAGCTTATATGAGTATTCAATAATGACACAAACATCCCGCAAGTTCCATAAATAACTTGATGAAGAAAATGAATAATTCATTTTATTGTGATTACAACAATTGAATGAAATTAAGATTTATTAATGACAAAATAATTTCTATAGGTTATGAATAGTTTTATGTAGGTCAATGAATAATTTCATATAAAGAAAGAATAATTCATTTTATCATGCATGATGAAAACATTTAAAATAAAATTAAGATTCAGTAATGACATAATAACTCTTCTAAGTCAAT